GAGGAGAAAGGAAGGAAACACACCGAGTGTAGGAAGAGGAGGAAAGGACAGTGACGAGGCAGAGGCATGTCCTCAGGAGGAAGGAGACACAGGGAGGAGCAGACAGAAGGACACACAGCAGAACGGGCAGAGATGACCTCCGACCCCTGCCAACCACAAAGACAGAGAGAACAGGGTCAGACTTAGAGTCTCCTCCCAACATCCAGGCCCCATCAGCTGTGTGAAACAAACGCACCCCTGCGGAGACAGCTTGTCCAGCCAGCCGCTAATGATGGGCGGGGCTCTCTCGGTCAGGGAGGTGTAGCTGGCGTAGGGGGAGATGGTAAGGTCCTCGTCGGCCTCGCAGGGGAGGGCGTGGTGGGGCAGCGAGAGACAGCGGAGGGAGGGTGGAGCTTCTCCCACAGTGCTGTAACCTGGCGAGTCCCCGGAGTGAAACGGCTGCGAAAAACGCTTCGTCCACGAGAACCTGTGACCCCTGAAAACACAAAAAACTTTATCAACGGACGTGAAGCAGACAGCGTGGGCATGACATCATCAGTAATTCGTGCAAATGTTTCTGCATTTTGAATCGTTCCAACGCCACGTTTACGTCTCGTTTCATGAGGATGAGTAGCCGTCTTACCCATGATCCTCTGCGTGCTTCTCCTCTTTCCTCGCCTCCCTTCCTTCATGTCTGCTTCTCTCGCTCTGCACATAAATGATCAAAGCAGCACATTTTATCAGACCTGTGAAAGTCAGAAGAGCGTCTCTGTCAGTGAGGGGGAGGAGTGGTGGCGGTCTGACCTCAGCGGCAGGAGGATGTCTCCGGGTCTGGAAAACAGTCTCACAGTATGGGCTGATCTCGTCCTCGGGGTCGTCCGTGGAGGCTGCCAAATAGAAATGGCCAGAGTTAGGATTCACCTGCGCCCCGGCCCTGTCCATTCTGATTTGATAACGTCAAAGTTAAAATAAACTGTGACTAGTATAACAAAGCCGATCTGTGTAGCATGTTAACACTATTGGAAGTAAAAATAACTTGAACTCCAATTTTGAAAACACAACTTTTTCTTTCTTTTTAAAAAAATAAAGCTCTGACTTGTATTATGAGTCTGTGGTCTGTGGTCTGGGAGAGAGTCTGTAACTCTCTGTCTGCAAAATACAGTAAATAA